ACTACGAAGCCCTCCGAAAGGGGGAGGGGAGGAGGGGGCGCATACAAATGTGCTGTGAGGGTCCCAGCGGAGTAACCACCCCCGGCGTATGCACCCCCTCCCCGCCCCCAACTCCATCGCCGCCGCGCTCCTCGGGTCGCCTCCTTGGATCAAAAGGTATCCCGGGCGGAAATGTGCGCGGAAACGGTATGCGGGTCCGCCTGCCCCGATGTCCTACCTCCTCCCGCCCGGCTCGCCCCCTTCCAATTTCCCTCCTCCGACCCTCCCTCCGACGGGGATGAGATGGCGCCCTGGCGATGGCAAGGACCCCGCCAGCGGCCCTGAGAGGAACGACTGCTCAGCAAAGCTCGGTAGTCGCGGAAAGAAACCTGATTTACATCTGTAATATCAGCCCCTAAATCACTTGGGATGGCGCACAGCGTGGAGTCTGCCGTCGGCCATGCGCTTCTACCTCGACAGTTAAAATCAGGAGCCGGACTATCCGGTAGCCGGACTAGGTAACGGTAGAAGAGAAAAGTTGTTTCTCCGTCGAAACCTCTACTTGATAAATACCTTGACCGCGTAGGAAGAAGATCCCGCATCAAATTTTTATGAATGTTTATTTTAGCATTTTTTACAGCTGTTAAATTCGACTTGGTAAATCATTTCGAGTCAAATGTTTTTTTCTGGTACCTCCTCATCTCTGGCACGCGGTAGTCGTGAGAGGCAAGTGCTATGACAAGTCGTAAGGGCGAAGTGACTTCCCTCTCTTTTCTATGAATATCCGATTTGATTCCCCGCGTCTCCACCCGTCGACGTCGTCGTCGGGGAGTAAAGGAAATCGGCAGAATGCAATCAAGGAAAGGCATAAACTTTTTCCTTCTCTCCCCATCTCTCTCCCTCGACCGTCTTCTCGGGGACGTTGCAGAAAAGTTACGACGACCACCACGGCGGTATAAAAATAAAACACGCTCACGACTATCCTGAACCTCCAGGACACCATCACGACGACGTCTGCTCCTACTGCACAGTGCACCTTCCGGATCGCAGGCAGCGAGGCAGCAGCGGGGGCCACGAAAGGTAAACTTACCTCTAACCGGACGGACTGGCGCATCCAAAAGAACAACACCCGGTGCTCTGTTTTGTGGGCCGACGAGCTGCTCCTGGGCATCACCCCCCTCTGCGCCCCGTCCCTGCTGTTCCTCTCGCTGCAGGCCAAGTCGCACTACTGTAAGCACTTCTGCCTACGCATTGGAAAGGCCAAGACGATCCTCTCTGCGTGCCCCTCGCTGGAGTTCTTCGCCACCGGCGTATCCCAGGATCGCTGTGACGACGACTGCGAGGTGTGTGCTCTGGGCTGCCGACATGTGGTCGGCGGTTTGCTGATCAGTAAGAAAAAGGAGCTGATGAATGACGAATTACACACTTTATTGCAGGGGGACAACCTTGATTAGGTATTCCATGTTTCTCGAAAATTTCCGTCGTTAAATTAAAGTTATCAGTGTGTTCGTTGGATCATTTTCTGTCCTCTGTTGAATGTTAATGTTTTGAATAAACTTACAATTATTACACTTTTCCCTTGTTGCATTTGCCCTTAGGCTCATTGTACGTTGCTCGCCGCGCCAACGCTCACGCGAGGCCAAACGCTTTACTGTACAGTGCGTGCGTGCACCAAATTACGCACACGAAAATTAGGAAAGGGGGGCAGGGGGTAGAAGGTTGACTAGAGCTTGGTGGAAGCTTGCTGCCCGCATCGCCCCAGGGGCTGATTGCGAACTGGTGTCACTGAAGGGGTGGGGAGCTGGCGGGGAGGAGCGAGTCAGCGTGGCCCGGCAGTGTAAGGCCACATGTGACCAGCGGGCAGACCGAGGGGAGGGGGGGAGAGGGGGGGGGGCTCCCCCACGAGACAAAGCGCCTCCCTGATTGAGGCTAATCAGTGATGGTGGCTGCGCAGGCTGCGCTCTCCGGCCTAGCTCTGGCTGCACTGCAGTGCCTGCCTGCGCCCCGCTCGCCGAGTCGTGCTGTGCTGCTCCTCGGTCCGGATGTGCTTCGGAGGAGCACCGTGGCGGGGCGAGGCGGGGCGAGGCGGGGCGAGGCGGGGCGGGACGGCCCCATTTAATATATCCCGTAGGCCCGGCGGCCCCTCCGGCCCCGGTCCGGGCCGTGCATGGTAAACACAATAAGGTCGGCCGCCAGCCCGCGGCCCTTGTGCGGCCAGGTGACGCTTGTTTTGGCGTGAAGTCCCACAGTGGCGCCCCCCTCCCCCCAACCTCCAACCCGCCGGCCCACCCCGAGCCTCGCCAGGAGGGCCCACTACTAGGCTGGGCCTGCCAACATCGCCTACAGTGAATCCCAATAAGGACAAGCCGGTGCGGCCGCCGCCGCCACCAGCGTCGCGGAGGGCGCCGTGGCCGTGGGCGGCCGCACTGGGCCGGGGGCGGGGGCGCCGCGGGGCGGGGGCCGACAGCCGCCCTCGGCAGCACACCCGGCCTCCCCCGGCCGCACCACCGGCCCTCTGCGGCCCCACCTGCTGCTCGGGGGGAGAAAAAGACGGCTCAGTTTATCTCGATACTTTACTGGGCGGGCGGGCCGCGGGCTGGCCGCGCCCCCGGGCTGCGCTGCGCGCGCCACGCCGCCGCGGCCCACAGACCCACAATGGCCCACGGCCCAGGCTCGGGGGGAATAGCAATGGATCCCAGCCGGTAAATGGGAAAGGGGGGGGAGCGGGGTCGGGGATAAGGAAGCA